TTCGTGTCGGCGCAGGGGCCCACCGTGGTGGACCAGACCACGCTCATGAAGAAGTACCTGCAGTTTGTGGCCGCGCTCACGGACGTCAACACGCGTAAGATGCTTTTCTGTCGCTGCTCTCACCCGCCTCTTGGCTTTTCTGTCACTTGTGTCATGAGGAGTAGGGTGCAGGCACTGGGTTCGAAAGGGGGGTTTGTCCGAGTCCTGTGTTTTAAAGAACCAAAGTGATGCCATGAGCTGAAGCAGGAGAGCTGTGTGTGGGTGCCCTGTGTGACTGAGGGGTGTTTGTGGGTCTCATGCCTTGTGCCTGGCTGGTGATGGCTCCACTGGTAAGATCTGAGTGCTGCTTTGGTTATTGGCCCTGTGACTTTTTCTTGATGGAGTTTTGCATTTAATTTCTCTTGCTTTAATTTCCGTTTCAGCCGATGAAACCAAGTTGAAAATGATGCAAGAAGTCAGTGAGAACTTTGAGGTAATCCAAAACAAAATTACTTTCTGAAGGATGGCTCTTGTTATGGTTCTTTTATGTGAGCTTATCTCTTATATTATCCGGTCAAAACCTTAGTATTAGCCCCATATGATTTACTTGGCTGTAAGTCATCCATGATAGCTGAGGGTTTATGTATCTTTTTGCTTCTCTCTTGTTTGAAATTAACAACGTTTTCGAAGAATTACATCTTTTAAGCTTAGGGAAGCATTGCATCCTCCACTCTTTTCTTGGTAAATGTTTAAATAGATATGATGTATTAGAGATTTTTTTTTTTCTATTTTGCTCTGCAAGTTGAAACCTATGTATTTGGAACTTTCTTTTATGTAATTCAGATATATGCTTAGCCTAATGAAATAGAGGACATACCCACCTGTGATTTTTCTGAATAGTTTAGTAGTGCAGAAGAGAAGGGGGGATTTTCTGATGCAGAATCTGACATTTGAAGTGGAGGCAGCTCCAGTGACTTCTTCAAAACAGACCATCAAGTTTGTATGAACAGCAATGAAAATTGAGGCGCAAGTTAAACCAATAATGCATTAATAGAAACTATACGTCTCTTGAATACTGAGCTACCATGTGTCTATTTTGAAATTATAGAGAACTTGTTATTTTGTAGTGCAAGTTTACGATTCCTGAATCACTGTTATTCTCTGTATCTAGTTAGTTACCCTGCTTTGAAAACATGCTTGAGGTGAGAAAGCTGTAATGTGCTCTGCCCCTATAAGCTTCATTTGCAGTGATCTCTATTAGTCTGAGATCTAGTACCCATTTCAGCGATGTTTACAGTCTTCAGATGTTTTTCCATGGGCTTTGTGTAAAGTTACATCCAACAAGTTGTTGCAGCTCCACTGTTGTTTGCGTAAGGTTGCACCGATTTTGCTTGTTCCTGTGTAGGAACGACCTGGAATTTCCGGTCTAGTAAATGTTTTGGTTTAGTTTGTGTTAACTTGGAGGAATACAATCTGAGCTCGAGTACAATAAAGAAAGCTGAAAGGCTGAATTCTCGTTTAGCTTTTAAAAGCAAATAAGCAATGTCTGTGGCGAAGGTGGAAGAGCAGTGTAACCAGCAGTGTTACCAGCAGTGACTGTCTGAAACATCCTTTGGAGTTTCAGTATGTGTTTGTTTCAATGATGGCAGGCCAGCCTGATCTGATATCTGAGTAAAGGAATGGTTGCAACCACTTAGTCTACCGATCTAGCTGAAATCTGGAAGCTGAACTGGTTCTCTTTGCTCTTGTCATTGGTGGAGAAGAACTTTTTCAGTGTTTGTTTTGGTAATGTTCAAGATAGAGCAGTTTTCCTCTCTTGATGCTTGCTTGTTTCTGTAATGTGGTCTTATGTATAAGGAAGATGAATTGACTTATGCTCACATACAGTTTTGTTTATATGAAACTGCAAAGAAGCAAAAGAAGCCATGTTTGTTTTTTTTTTTTTCTTTGCCTTTTTTCCTTTTTTTTTTTTTTTTTTCTGGGTAGGCTATGGAAGTTATTGTTGCAGTTTGTTCTGCTAGCTGGTAGATGGATTCCTTTCATTTTCTGTTTCCATAGTTTCTGTTTTAACTCTTTTCTGTCACCTACCTCAACTTCTAATTGCTACAAACTTTAGGTGTCTTTTTTTTTTTTTTAACTTTAAGGAAAGAAATATTTTTTACTTAGCTGTTTTTTTGGAAGTTACAAAATTTGAAGTCTCTTGACTGCATAACTGATCTTGCCGCTTCCCTAGATAGGAGCGGAACTGGATACAAATTGTTGAGTAAGGAGGTTTAGGCCTGAAGCTCTTCCCATAATGTTGTCCACCTCGCACTGCCGGTTCCTGCACTAACTGTGTAAGGGTGTTCTGAGACCAGCAGAGGGGATAGCACTTTTATTATAGTTTCTGGGTATTAATGCTTGACAGTCTTGAATCTTTTGAAGTATTTTACTGCAATAAGCTGTGAGTGTGTATTTCAAGTCTTTATTACCTAAGAACATACCTTCTTTCATTTTTCATTGGAAATAGCTGTTTGTTATTCAATTCTTTTTTTTTCTTGTGTGAGCGTTAAAACAGAAAAAAATATTGCAACTTGTTGGAGTAAAGAGATAACTGCCATTCACTTTTGTTTCAGACACTCACTAATTCTGTAATATGTCAGCAGCTGCTTAATCACTAAATCTGTTAAAAAGCAACTGACTGCTTTTAATACTAGTTCTGAACATGGCTTGAGGTAATTTGTGCAACATGTATTACATTCGTCTCCCTGATTGACTGATTTATTTGTTTTTACTATTAGAATGTGACATCATCGCCACAGTATTCTACCTTCCTGGAACACATCATCCCTAGATTTCTCACATTTTTGCAGGATGGAGAAGTCCAGTTCCTGCAGGAAAAGCCAGCTCAGGTAAGCTGCACAAAGCACCTGCTACATTTTTGCAGTGTGTGTAATAAGCTGCTCATTTGGTGAAGGTCTTGATTAGCCTAGTGAACTGATTTTGGTATACACTTTATAGTTAAAAATAGATTTGCTATTTAGAGTAAAATTGAAAAAGACCTGTTTTAAAATTATTTATAAACTTGTAAATTTGAGCTTCTAATAAAAATGAGGAAAAAAGATAGGGCGGCATTGGCTGTTTCACTGTAAAGCCAGAGGTTGTTGTGAAATACTGACTTTGGGAAATGAAAGGCAAAAGTTGAATCTGTGTCATTAAATACTGAAAATTGAGTTCTCATAGTGTGATAACTTTTCAGCTGTAGGTTCATTAAGTATGCATTATTTTCTATGTTCCTGTACTAAGAAGCATTATGTTTGCATGTAAACGTGTGTTTGAGCAAAGTAAATGGCTTTTATCTTTTTAAGCACATGAACTGAAAAAATGTTATTGATAATTCTTGTATTTTATGTGGTTTTTTTTTAAATTCTAGCAGTTTTCATATTTTCTCCTTTGTTTGCAGCAACTCCGAAAGTTAGTGCTTGAAATAATTCACAGAATACCAACAAATGAACATCTTCGTCTTCATACCAAAAACATTCTGTCTGTGATGTTTAGATTTCTGGAGGTATTGTAGAGTTTTTTTCTTTCTTTTTATTTCCCTCAAAGCTGTTACAGTTTTTCAGAAATATTTTCTTTCTTTATCTTCAAAACCAGCTAGGGGTACTAGCTTTGTTATCTGTGCTTCTGAAGCAGGAGAGGAAGGGCGTTCTATTTATTATTCACTAGTATGAGTCATAGAATCATTATGGTTGGAGAAGACCTTAAAGATCATCAAGTCCAGCCGTAAAACCATCACCTCCATGCCTACTAAACAATGTCCTTAAGATAGCATCTTTCTGTCTACAGGATTTTTGTAGGTTTTTTGCCCTTTAGAAACTTTGATTTAAGAGATGCATAGTATATATTGCATTCTGGACAAGAATTCATTCATGAGTACCATTCTATCCTATATTATGTGAGTGCAGATACCTTACTTTAAAAGGTTATATTATGCGTCTTATGTGCAATTCCAAGTATTGCCATTTGAAGCTCACAGAAAATCTGATCCTGGTGGAGGCATCTCCACAAGGTGTGAGACTTGCACTTGCTGTGTTTAAGTAGTTCCATTAACGTATGTCTGTAAGATATTGCAAGCAGGTCTGATGAGCAATTTAAGCTTTTAGAATTGTCCCACTCGGGGTGAATTTAATTTTAGCCAAGAACCAAGAAAGACGTCTTTCACTTTACATTTTACCTTGCCAGGTAAAATGACGTAAAGTGAAAGACGTCTTTCTTGCGTACGTTTGTTTTAATAGAGCACTGATAATTTGCTGAGGTAAGTGTGTCTTTAAAGGATTTTAAATTGCTTTTGGAGTGGTCAAAATACAATAGACTCACTACTTTTTTTTTTTTTTTTTTTAAATTCTCCTTTCAGACAGAGAATGAAGAAAATGTACTGATTTGCTTAAGAATAATTATTGAATTGCACAAACAGTTCCGACCAGCAATCACTCAGGAAGTAAGTCATTTATTTTATTATGTGGCATAGAACTTATATTGACTGATGTGTTGTGATGATCAGATATTAAAAAAATCTGAAAGTACCTCTTATCTAAGGAGGACTGTGCAGTGATAGCACCTCTGGGACTAAGCTGTTAAAGCTTGGTTAGTTTTGCTTAAAGTGTCTGTGGGTAATATGATTAGAATTGGTATCTGCAAAAAGAACAAAATTTCTCAAGGGACGAGAATTGGTCCTTTTTTAGTTTGAAAAGGTAAAAAACCTGGAAAAGGAAAAGTTAGGATTGTTATGGTTACTCTTACTGCTCTTTTGCTACTGTATCGTGCAAAAGAATATTTGAAAGTCTGTGATTTTGTTTTTGCTTTGTTTTTTTTCCCTCTCTTTCTTTCATCGATATGTATGTATACTTAATTGTATTATATTGGAACAATATTGAGATGATAGTTCAGCTGAAGTCTTTCTAAGTGCAGTTGAAGATGGTGTTAGCAGAACAGAAGGAAAATATTTTTGAATTCCTATTGACCATCATGGAAGTTATATTCTAGGGATGATTTTAAAATTTTCTTCAAGTTAAATGTTAATACAGAGATACTAAAATTTTGTCTTTTTTCTTCTTCTTTATGGTAAATTGATGTATTTTGTTTTCCAGATTCATCATTTTTTGGATTTTGTGAAGCAGATTTACAAAGAACTTCCTAAAGTAGTGGTGAGCTTCTTAATTCCTTAGGTGCCCTTGGTATGATCAGAAAACTCATTTTTATTTTTTATTTTTTTTTAAAAAGATGCTAGCATAATTACTTTTACATAAGATACATGGTATGGTGTAAATACAATTAGAAGGAAAATGGTTAAATGCCCACTTCAAAAAATAGAGAAATTCAGACTCTGAGTTAGGAAATCTTCTGTTTGCAGCTGTAATAATGTTTATATCATCACTAATATCGACAGGCTAAGGTATATTTTAATAGTAAAACATTAGCTTGTTGGCAGTAGTGCTATCAGTGCAGCCATTTTTTTTTTCCTTTCCCTTGAAGGAAGGGTTACATGACTTATTTTCCAGTAAATAGAGTTCTTCAACATGCGGGATAATGTAGAGGCTGTTTCCTGCTTTTCTTCCTCATTATTAGAGTATCTGCTTGGGTGTTTTGCTTTAGCAAAAGAATCCTGTTGTTTGGAGATGCTTTCTGCTGCTTGCTGAGTGGGAGTGAAAGATTGCAGGATATATATGCAGTCATAGTCCTCTAAACATGAGATGCAGAGAAGTCAAATATCTGCAGTAAGATATCAGACAAAAAGAGTATTTAGGAATTCCACTGAGCTAAATGACCTTGAGACTATTAGTAGCATTATTATATGCTTTCTTCTGCTTTTCATTTGCTTGTAGAATCGTTATTTTGAGAATCCTCAGATGATTCCAGAAAACACTGTTCCTACTCCTGAAATGGTTGGCATGATTACAACAATTGTGGTGAAAGTAAACCCTGAGCGAGAAGATAGCGAAACAAGAACAGTGAGTGTTGTAGCTGCTCTTCAAGAACAAGCTTGTCTGTATCAAACAATCACAAATTATGAAGGCAGTTAAATACAATAATCTTGCTTTGCTTATCAAAATTTATTTGTAGACTTTATTTGTATTCAGACTTTTCGGGTTTTTGCTATGCACCTTAAATATGGAATATTTACTTAATGTAATATCAGATGTTTTTGTGCTCCTGTGAATAGCATTATTAAAATATTTTTACATGCTTTTTGAGTTAATTATTAGAACATTTATAAAACGTGTGTTCTCTCTTTTCAGCATTCTATAATTCCCAGAGGATCTTTATCCCTAAAGGTCTTGGCTGAGCTACCTATTATTGTTGTTCTTATGTATCAGGTCAGTGTAGTACATTAAAGTATTTTACATGTAAATGCATTTTATTACTGAAATGTTTGTATCTTCTGGCCTGGGATGTCGGTAAAAATGAATATAACTTTGTGGTGTTTTTTTTTTTTTTTTTTGAAATATAATATGGTCTAAAAATAATTCAATGAGATGTATTTTTTTATCTTTTCTGATAAGCTTTCAAGTAAGTTTCACTGATAGTGTGAGTTGTAAATTTCTTTAATAATACTTTTTTTTTCTTTAAGCTCTACAAACTGAACATTCACAATGTAGTAGCTGAATTTGTGCCCTTGATTATGAACACTATTATAATACAAGTTTCTGCTCAAGCAAGGTAACAGGATTTTAAGACTATTTTTACAATATTTGGAATAAACTACCTTGATGTCTTATTCAAGATTTTCCCAAATAGTTCTGTCTTGCATTCAGTATTTTGTCTTCTAATGCTGTTGCTTTTTAATCTCAAATGTAGCAATGATTGTTCAACATAAAAATGTCCTTCATTAACATTTTGTAATTTAAGTGATAGCAAATTTGAGTATTTCTGCTGTGTGTCACGAAGAAAATTCTTTCTTGTCCAGCTGATCCGAAGTTACTACTTGGTGATGGCTTTTGTTATTTTTAATTGAGTTTCTGACAGGAATCCATGTTACTGCAGAGAGTATGTGATGGAACACACGTTAGCGAGGATATTATCTGTTTGGTTTTATTGGGCCACAACTGATACTTTTTTTCACTTCCAAGTTCTAGTTTAGGAGAAGCATTATGGTATTGCAGAGCTGGACTCTGCTTTCCCCTTTTCCAAGTGGGATGTTTCTAGCAAGCAGCGGTGGTACTGAGGAGGGTGGCAGGAGCAAGACCTGCCAGATGAGTTTATTCCTTTCAAAGAAGCTCTACTGAAATGAGATTTGAATTCATACTTACATGAGCTTTCTGAATGCAAATATTAAAGAGGAGGGAAAATATAGTAACCACTTTCAATTTAATTTCAGGCAACATAAACTTTATAACAAGGAACTCTATGCTGATTTTATTGCTGCTCAAATTAAAACGTTGTCCTTCTTGGCATACATCATAAGAATTTACCAAGTAGGTTGCAGTTTTCATTATTTTGTTATTCTTTGTGCAACAGATCTGCAGTTACTATGTGGTGGGCTAGCAAAGTGACTGAGGTGGGTTGGGGGCTGGAGAAAAAAAGAATTCATGTACAAATCTGGAGACAGAGCTGTGCATGGTTGTGGATTCAAGAGTGCTCTGATATGAACTCAAAGTAAATAAGCCCTTTACTTCTCTGTTTGTTCTTACCTGAAGTATTTACGGGATAACTACAGTATTTTTACAGCTAGACTTTTTAAAAGAGAGTTCAGTAAACTTTAATGTTATTTTACAAATATACAAAAGAGATTTAAGGTAGCATGCCACACTAATTGAGTTCTCGTAACTTTTCTTTTATAGGAGTTAGTGGCTAAATATTCTCAGCAGATGGTGAAAGGAATGTTGCAGCTCCTGTCCAACTGTCCCGCCGAAACCGCACACCTCCGCAAAGAGCTGCTCATCGCAGCGAAGCACATCCTGACCACGGACCTGCGGAGCCGTATGTATCACCCCTTTAAAATATATTTGTAAGATGAAAAGCTTCCAACTTTGTGTGTAAGAGGTACAACGCATGCTATTTGTTCTGCCCATATATGCTCGTGATTATTTTGGGATTACATATGTTCTCTATTTGTTTTGAGGGAAAAGTGATTAGAACTCTGCCTTCCTTGACTGCTTGCTTTTGTCCCAGGCTGGGAATCTTGTCCTGTCTTATGGAATAAGAGAATGAATTGAAAAAACAGTTTTTCCAGTTTTCCAGATCTCAGTCATTCTAAGTAATTACTAGGCAAAGATACACTATTTGTGTTGGTTTGTAATTGTGCCTGCAGTTGTCTGGGTACTTAAAAATGTTAATCTGATAACGTGAGTGGAAATAGCTCTGTGAAAATTGGTATTATATGTTCGACTTAGCTCCTAAAACTTGCTTCTAGCAGAGGAAGGCTATTTTTGGTCTGCCTGATTTAATTTAGATTTCATTGATATGTTCTGTTTTGGCAAAATTGCAAATTACGTGATGAGCGTACTTTGGAAAATGCAAACTTCTGTGTTTTCATCTTTACAGTGTGGTCATTACCCTCCTCTTATTGAAGGTTTGATGTCTAACAGGTTTTACTAGCTTGCCAAAAAAAAGAGAAAACATAAGTTTACTAGTTCTTAACATGGAGCACATGAAAAACATTTTTTTTTCTTTGTGGTGTAAGGAAATTAGCTTTATTTGCTCTACAGTTGTCAGCCTCTACATAATAACTTTTTAACTTGAGCTGTTTCAACAAACCTCTTGCCAACCACTATGTATAGCTTTCTTCCTTTTTTCTTTTTTCCCTTTTAATTACAGAATTTATTCCCTGCATGGACAAGCTCTTTGATGAATCTATACTGATTGGCTCTGGATACACTGCCCGAGAGACCCTGAGGTATGAGGAAACAAAAATGGGTTATCTATGCAGAGTCTAAGGTCTGTTACTCTTTACAGTAATGTCTGTATCGATTCACTGTCATATTCCCAATATTTCATGAAACTGCCAAACTCCTAAATCCTGTGTCCACTGTAAAAGTTGAATCAGATTTAAATAATTTCATCAATAGCAGTTATTGAAAAATTAGGCAGAGTAGTGATTTGCTGGATTTGACTTTGATAACCTGTTAGGTTTTAGGTTTTTTTTGCTAACAGTTGAAAAACATGAATTGGAGGAATCATTTCTTCTTTCCTACCTAGCAGATGTTCCTTATTTAAAGATAATTACTAGATAGGGAATTGTTCCCTCTACTAGATGCTTAAAACTGGTATTCAAAATAAAATAATTTTAAAGTTTATCCATTTTCCTATTGAAAGAGCTTACCAGCGCCTTAAGAATACTGATTTGCTCCTGAATATGTGTAGATGAAAACACATGGGGATGTTCAACGGGGGGGAAGAAAATCAGAGAAAAAAAGAGTAGTTTTGTTGGTGTGATTAATGTATTTTTGGTACAGTTATGCAGATTATAATTCTCCTTATAATTGAAAAAGTACTGTGAACTCTGTCCGCATTTTGCATATGAAACTAGAAAAACCTACATTTGGTATTTTGAAAGTATCTCCAGTCAGTAATTGGTTAAGTGCAATTAACAATGATTCTGTTTGTCCTCAATGTACTTCCTTCATTTCTTGCTTTTACTGGCAGACCACTTGCATACAGCACACTGGCAGACCTGGTGCACCATGTCCGTCAGCATTTGCCTCTCAACGATCTCTCCCTTGCTGTCCAGTTATTTGCCAAGAACATTGATGATGAGTCCTTGCCTAGCAGTATCCAGACCATGTCTTGCAAACTGCTGCTGAATTTGGTAGACTGTATTCGGTCTAAAAGTGAACAGGAAAATGGAAATGGTAGAGATATTCTTATGAGAATGCTGGAGGTATGGATTCGTTAAAACAGTTGATAAGTTAAATATTCTCTTCTTTTATATTGTGTTGGCAAGCACATTTTGCCTTCTACTTTATTTATAAATGGGAATATATGGAAATGGTCTGCTTATTGTGGTTCGTTTTAGTACTTCGGAGAAGGAATTTCTAAAATGCTCTGGAATGATATTTGAGGACAGTGGAGATACTTTGCCTCCTTGGCCTATTCACACAGTGATTGTCTCTGAAGTGAGCAACTGAATGTCTGTGCTTCTAGGGGTAGCATTAATTATGGTTGCAATCTACTGATGTAGTCTCTGGAGTAAAAAAGAATGAAACCTGCTATCTTCTTATCATTTTGTAGGTTCTTGGCATAGATAGTGCAATCTGTAAGATGTCACCTATCCGTGCTTTTGAAAATTAGAGGACCCTCTTTATATGGGGGGTCTTTTGCTGTTTATAAAAACCAGATGTGCCCACTAAAAGCTTTTTGCCTGTGTGCAGTGCCAATTGTAGTGGATCCTGTATTCCAGTTTTCTTACCCTGCAGTTGGTTTCTAATAGCTTGAAGATAGGGGTGATCTTGAAAATAAACTTTTTCTTTTTATCTACTCCTGTTTGTTTTTTACATCTGGAACATTATATAGCAAAAGTGTTTAGTCAACTTTTTTTGGCTTATTAAACAAAAATTTGTAATGATATGTGAATTCAAAGGAGATGCATCTGGGAAGAGAGGTACATACAGAACTCTTAAGTGGGGGAAAAACTTCTGTACCACCCAGATTTTCAAATCTAGATCTACTTGGCTTGATCAAATAATTTTAAACTAAGATTGTGTACGACATGAGTCTTGTTTAGTATTAACCAAGTGAGAAATGTTGAGCACCACCGTTCTGCAGAATTGATTATTAATTTCTAAATCTGATCCAGTTCATATGTTATGAGTTTAAATTCTAGCTTTACGCATCTCCTTAAATGACAAGTTTTAGCCTTTTATAACTAATAGTAAATATTTATAGCCTGAAATGTTTCTCTTAATGATTTCAAATGGCAGGCAGTTCGTTTCATATTAAATCAAAGGTAATCATAGAGAGATTTGTTCTTAGCTGGCTACTTTTCACCAAATATTTTTATTTTGGAATGTGTTTAAAATAAAGAGTCTGGTTGGTTTGATATTGGGGGAAAAAAGTGTTTGTTGTTATTGGAATGGTTCTGGATATACTTAACTGCAGTTTTTTTGATCTAAATATATTGGCTTGAAGTGTTAGTGTTTTTAAATTTAGAGTCATTTTTGAAAGAAGCAATTTATTTTTCTTCCTCCCTTCCCCTTTTTCTTTGCTCTTCTGTTTGCCTTTTCTGTTTTTATTTCAGGTTTTTGTTCTGAAATTCCACACTATTGCACGCTACCAGCTTTCTGTCATTTTTAAAAAATGCAAGTTGCAGTCTGAACTCGGGGCCACCGAAGCGGCCTTGCCTGGAGTCCCGGCAGCAGCAAACGCAGCGGCGCCGGTGCCGGTTCCATCTCCTGCCCCAGCTACTCCTCTGGCCCCCGCGCCAGTGCCCGTATTTGAGAAACAAGGGGAGAAGGAAAAGGAAGATAAACAGACGTTCCAGGTCACAGATTGTCGAAGCCTCGTGAAGACTTTGGTCTGTGGCGTCAAGACCATCACGTGGGGCATCACATCGTGCAAAGCTCCTGGTGGTAAAACTGCCTTATGTTTAATTATGCTGCTCTTTTGTAAGTCTGCTATTAAAATTATAGCATAAGAGCAAATTATATTTTCAGTAACTACTGTCTTGTTCTTTGTCTTCTTTCAGAAGCACAGTTCATTCCTAATAAGCAGTTGCAACCTAAAGAGACTCAAATCTATATAAAACTAGTAAAATATGCAATGCAAGCCTTGGATATTTATCAGGTATGTAACTTGACCACATAACACTTTGTCAGCTACAACACCGATTTCATCTAATGATTTCACATCTAATGTGAAACTTTATCAGTTTAAAGTATTTGAGAAATTGCAGGAAATGTTTTCTTAACAGCTGTTTGTGTCTATTGTTTGTGTTTATTTAGGCAAGTCAGGCCTTAAAATTCCATCTTTACCTCTTTTATAGTGGCTTAAATAATTTCCTCATGGAATTTTTTAGCTTGGTAATTAACTGGAGCATTCACTTGGCATAGTTTTATCTTCTTTAGTTACAAAGTTGTTGTGAAATGTGAATGTACAAAATTTGGATTTGAGTTTACAAATACTCTATGATATCTCCTTTTGTTGTCTTTTCTAATGCCTGATTTCTTGGGTTTAAAGTCTGCAATGAATATACTCTATTTTAATGCCTTTTGTTGACACTTCTAACTGTGCAGGACTTGCATCTGAAATGCGCAATATCATTTTTTTTTTATAAGATACTATAAGAATAATACAATTTTGTGAAGTTACTTAAGTTATATAACAAATATGTGCATTTTCTAAATTGCTGTAGGTCCAAATAGCAGGAAATGGACAAACGTATGTTCGAGTAGCAAATTGTCAGACAGTCAGAATGAAGGAGGAAAAGGAAGTTCTGGAACATTTTGCTGGTGTATTTACTATGATGAACCCTTTAACATTTAAAGAAATCTTTCAAACTACTGTTCCGTATATGGTGGAGAGGATCTCAAAAAACTATGCTCTTCAGGTATTATGATTTTCCCCCCTCCCCTCAATTTATAATAATCGGTCTGTGGAAAGTAAGATATGGCTTAAAGTATGCCAGAGTAAAGAGGGCTTGTAAATAATAATGTTACAACTAGCTGCAGATCTGTAACCATTTAAAAAAATACCTTGTAGAGGTTTTTTTTTTTTTTTTTTTTTTTCCCAAACCTTGTGAAGATAACCAGAATCAGTGAATCAGTTATCTAGCAGCGGGAATGGAGAAAGAAATTGATTTTTGTTTTAAGTGGCTAGTGCATTTGTCCCTTTGTTCCTTTTGTTGCAGCAAGAGTAATGCCCTTGCGGTTTCTTTTTGTAGATTGTTGCCAATTCCTTCTTGGCAAACCCTACAACCTCTGCCCTCTTTGCAACGATTTTGGTGGAATACCTTCTAGATCGGCTGCCAGAAATGGGCTCTAATGTGGAACTCTCCAATCTGTATCTCAAGCTGTTCAAGTTGGTCTTTGGCTCAGTTTCACTATTTGCAGCTGAAAATGAACAAATGCTGAAGGTAAAGATCATCTTTTTTAAAATGTATTTGTATTTTTATATCTGTCTTTTAAGGTATTTTTCAGGAGTCTGAGAAAACTTACCATTTTAATATGTGGTAATCTTTCCATGTTTGAACTGCTACTAATGATACATTCCATTATACCAAATACTTGCCTTTCTTACAGGAAGTAAGTTTGTACAACACTGTATTTATTCAAAGGATCTATTTTTTACGTTGTCAGGAGACCATCTCATTCATTGTTCAGTGAGTTCAGAAGTACTTGAAGAAAGACGTTGCCTTTTTTTTTTTTTTTTTTTTTTTTTCCTTCTCCGTAAAAGTGACAGCTGATTATATATAGAAAAACTTTAAGATATTATTGCAATGCTGATGCTTGTCTCATCATTTTTCTCCATTCCTCTTCACTCTACCTAAATATCTAATACAGGTAACTGCATGTTGATGGTATCTGTGTGTAAATATTCATTATACCAGGGTTAGATCAGTACTTGTTTCTAGGTGGAACAAAATTTGGACTGCTACTTTTCCCAAATTTTTTTTTTGAAAGATCAAAGTAATGTAAAATAATGGATAAATTATTCTCTCTTTATCATCAATTCAAGGTCGTATGTATTTTATAGACTGGAGATCCAATGTGAAGAGTGATTTACTACCATAGCGATTTCATGCCTCTGTTAAGTTTTTGTTTCAACAGGATTGATGATGTGGGCCTTGGGTAGACAATTTAGTCGAATGATGAAGGCCACTTGCAGCATTTGTATAGCAACACACAGCTCTCGGATGTTAATAAAATCCAGAATTGTTTTACCGTTTGTACCTTATCTAGGAGTATCCTTGTATTTATCAGCTATTTTTAATGATTCCTGCAAAGTGTTAATTCCTGCTCCTCTAAAAGGCCACTGACTGAATCTTAAAACTTTTAGTTCCATAATTCTTATTTCACTTGTAGAAGTGGGCTTTAAATTTTTGAGTGCTAAATATTTGAATTGAATTGTAATGTCAGCTCTAGAATGAATGTTGTGAAGTGTCTTCTCTTTTCATTTACTTCTGATGTTTCTGCTTCCCATCCTTAGGCATTTTGGACCAAATGCTTTTTACTATGTCAAACTTGCAGTTTTTTGTTTTCTTCTTTAACACAGTGACTGCTTGGCATAGTGAGCTGACTCATTTGTCTAAGATGAAAGCTGTGTTTAATTAATTACGAATGCTCTAAGCTATTAGTACTCTTTAGATAAATATTTACTTTTTAACTATTCCTTGACAGCAGTGTTAAATTAGCATGGTGTCAGCTTAGAGTGATTTGAATAAGGTTGAATGTACTTGCACATTTTGATATGAAAACTTGTCTTGTACTGAGCTCTTGGACAATGATGGTAATACTGATGTGTTAATTGTAAAGCTTTGCTTTTTTTTTTTGTTTGTTTTATAGCCACATTTACACAAGATTGTGAACAGTTCTATGGAACTTGCACAGACTGCCAAAGAGCCCTATAACTATTTCCTGCTGCTCAGAGCGCTGTTCAGGTCTATTGGAGGAGGCAGTCATGACCTTTTGTATCAAGAATTCTTGCCGTTGTTACCAAACTTATTGCAAGGTAGAATAACACCTTCTTTGACCCCACCTTTATGTTATTTAAATAAAAATAGTAATAAAATTATACCATATACATAACGTTTAGCAGTTCTTTAAATAATATGAATGCGATTTGTTTTCATTTACTGTCAGGTTCCATAGTTTTGACTGCTTCACAGTTTCTGCTGTGTCCTTCTTGCCAATGTCTTTTTTTTTCCTTCCTGAAACTGAGGGCATGTGTCCCCTGCCTGGTGAACACAGATGCAAATAGCATCAGTTCCAAAAAAAAAAAAAAAAAAAAAAAAAAAAAAAGAAAATAACAAAATCTGTTTAATTAAATGAGCATATATGTTGTCAGGGACAGTCTTGCAGAGATGCTGAGGATGAACAAGCAAATGTGCGGAACTATTTAAATGTAAGGAGAAGATGATAAAAAAAAATGCAGCAAAGTGAAATCCAGTGGTGCCCATCTTCAGCTCTAGGCATAATTTTAACTGGCAAATTTGCTAACTAATAGTTAGCAAATATTATATATAAATTGCTGTGTAAAATGCATGTCCGTGTAGAGCTGTTAGCTAGGTTTATGGAATATATGGAATATTGCTGGTGAGGAAAGTAAGTTGGGGATTATATTTAGTCTATATGAGATGGAGAATGTATGATTATTTTTTGCAGGAGTTCAGCTGAGTTCAAACTTTTTCTGTATATATTTGCTTTTTTGATACAAGGTTGAGATTTGGTTCGAACTGTGTGTTTCCAGGTTTTATGCACTGAACTGAAGTGCTGCTTTGTTGTGTTTGCTATTAAATTTGAATATATCCATATTCTTTTCATAAATACATACACATGCATGAAATCACCACATAAAATGCTTAGGTGCACAATTTGAAAATATAAAAAGACTTAATGGATATTAGTTACAAATTTTAGTTGTGGTATTAACAGAGATACGAGTTTTACAGAATTTTTAAAATCTGGTGCTATTCTGGATTTAGTATATACCTCTTAAAAATTAGTGTGTCTCTTCCTTCAAATGCCTAATTTATCAATGATTTTCAGGACTTAACATGTTGCAAAGTGGCCTGCATAAGCAACACATGAAAGATCTGTTTGTGGAGCTGTGTCTCACTGTGCCGGTTCGTCTGAGCTCGTTGCTCCCCTATCTGCCCATGTTGATGGATCCGTTGGTGTCAGCTCTCAATGGATCCCAGACCTTGGTCAGCCAAGGTTTAAGAACTCTGGAATTATGCGTGGATAACCTGCAACCAGACTTCCTCTATGATCATATTCAGCCAGTTCGAGCTGAGCTTATGCAGGTAAATATGTTGCTTCCTCCTAGACCACTAGAGGTCATGATTCTCTAAATATTATTAGAGCTTAATGTGAAACTTGGGATGTGAAAATGTGATAAATCTGTTGTAAGAACCATTGCTGTCTAATTTGTATGCAGAAAGCTAGTGGAGTCCTGCTAGTAAATTGAAACTCCAAAAAATTAAAAATTGAATTAATCTTTTCTTCATTCACTTGGAAAGTGAAGACTTTGAAATTCAGTAGCAGTAGGCTATACTTAAGATGAGTTGATACAGAAAATAATTAAATTTTGGTAACTGGCTGAAAACAAAGGAGGGACAACTAATTACTTTCCGCGTATCATGACTGGGAGCTAGGTACGCTATTGTATATACACTGAAGATCACTTAGATGAAATTCTGAGCAACATTTGATAAATACAACTATTCCTTCTGACAGTGTTTACATGTACTTTGCTCTTTACATTTAACATTTACCTTGTTTTTTTTTCTATATAGAAAGTAGCTTTTTGAAGTGAATTTACTTCTTAACTGTGCTTAGAACAATCTTATTACAAATCATTTGAACTGGTGGGAAAAGAGACTGCTTTTATTCCTGGCAGGAATGTATTTTCTGGAAGGTATGCTGGGTCATATACCCAAATAGAAGAATAAGTGTTTCCTTTGATTTTTTTTTTTTTTTCAGTAATAACTATAAGAGTTTAGAAATGAGACAACTCTGACCATCTCACATTTAAAATACCTTTAGGCTTTGTGGCGAACGTTGCGCAACCCTGCAGACAGCATTTCTCACGTGGCTTATCGTGTACTTGGTAAATTTGGTGGAAGTAACAGGAAAATGTTAAAGGAATCGCAGAAACTGCAATATGTAGTCACCGAAATTCAAGGACCCAGCATTACAATAGAGTTTTCAGACTGTAAAGCATCTATTCAGCTCCCAATGGAAAAGGTAAGGGCTTAATTTTTCTACTTCTGCTATGTAAGTTTGTTAAGAGTCTCCATATATGATAAGTTGACCTAATGGGCTCCTTGTTTGCTTCTGTTCTGTGTAATTAGCTGAAGCTCACCAAACTGTTCCCTCTTGAAATACAGTTTATGGAAAAATCAAGTCATGTTTTTTGCAGGGGATGCATATGATGCTCTGTTTGTATTGCCATAAGGTAGGAAGCTTGGGTGGCAGAAGTAAATGTTCTCTATTGCAGGGAGTATTTTTCACTTTCCTAACTTCTGTGTTGTTTAAGTTAGGAGCAGGAATTTGCTCTACAACCTACTTTAAAACTTTCCTGTTGTCTTTGAAGTGTTCCAGAAATCTGTTCTTTGATCAGAGAAGTTCTCCAGCTATTATTCCAGTCGCTCCACTAGTTTGGCTTTGTTTGTTATCTTTAGGCTGGGTGTTCTTAATATTTTTAATACTTGTAAAAGCACTTCATACTTGTAGTGGCTTTCATACAACAGTCTCAGTGTATCACAAGTGTTTAGTTGGCAGTAATTGCAGCAACCTAATCTGTTTTTATGTCTTGATCTGAGTATCAAGTTGGATTCTGAATTAATTTGACCTGTAGAGTTTTAATACTTATCTTTTTTATTACACTTCCATGAGTAAGTAACAGAAGTAACAGAATTAAAAATAGCTTGGAAAAACGTTTCTTGAAATGCTGATAGCTTTCCCCCTGTATACCGAAACTGATGCGAGTTGAATGTGTATAAATATTGTAATTGCTAACATTTTTCTCTCCTACTAGGTTTAATGTGAATCAAGTTTTCTGAAATATTTATGTGTCTAACATGTTTGTTTAATGACATGAAAGAATTTTTCAGCTTCTCAAGTGCTGACCAAGAAACAATATTGTTTGCTGTACACTTTATATTTGTAAAAGAGAAATGTCAATTTAGAAAGGAAAACAAAGGGGAGAAAATTGAAAATGAGAAATTAATCTTTCCTTTTTAGTGCTTTAGTGATCATCTAGGGAAAAGTCATTGCTCTTTTCATTGAAATGTTAATGAAGTTATTCAAAAGATGATGGGAGGGCAGCTGGTTAAGTCTGTAAGTGGATAGATGGTTCCCCTTTCAGAAAAGATAAATGCCCACTTCTCTGTAACAGAGGCCTTGAAAGGTCACTCTTTCTACCCAATCTTGTGTTTGCTGTTAAGCATGGATGGTTAGGTTTCATTTTACAATTGAAATTGTTTATTTCGTGCACCCAAAATTAATTTATATGTGGGTTTTTCTTTGATGTGTGTGTGTCATTTGATTATCAATTGCCCCATTCTTCTGGGGTAAGAATAGAGGATAACTTTGTATGTGCTACGTATGTGTGAAAGTGAAAATTTTCAGAGAATAAGGTATTCCTCTTTCATTAATCTCAAGTCCTACTGGAATGATTGACTGGAATGATCCTGAAGTATATTAAAGCTATTCTCTTTCTTTGCGAGAACGCTTCTTTCCATTAAGCAATTGACTTTTAGAAGTTGTTTAATGACATTTAATATGTTCGATGTAACTCTTGATTTGTGTTGAAAATGTGAAAAAACGATCTTGTAAGGTAGAGCGTTTTTTGAACAAGTTACCCATGCATGCATGTATAAGTGCATTTTTTATATTTACAGTATGTATGAATTGTGAACAGCAATTAGTGCTGGAAAGAACATGGAAGAAAACTTTCACAGAGAGAGAGAAAGAAGTAATACATCATTCATGACACTGAATGCTTTCTGGCTATGAAAATAAATGTCCTTCCATAAAACTTTTCACTTCTATTAAAGCACAGCAAATGCATTAAGAGTTCTAGGTCCACACGTCAGGCATTCTCTGTATTTTTAATTTGAACAGTCCAAATTAAATATTGTTTAAGGGTCTTTAAAATGAGTTAAAGATATATTGTTCACCTGATTGATGACCTTATTAAAATAATGATAATAACAAACAGTAACGGAACATATTTTTATCTCTCTTTTTTTTTTTTCATTGTAGGCAATTGAGACTGCTCTGGACTGTTTGAAGAGTGCTAACACTGAACCATATTATCGAAGGCAGGCTTGGGAAGTAATTAAATGCTTCTTAGTAGCTATGATGAGCCTGGATGATAATAAACATGCCTTATACCAACTTCTAGCACATCCCAAGTATGACAATTCTTTAAACATAAATGTGTATGTAAAATTTATAGTGTCTTTTGAGTAGCCTAATTTAGGAGCAGTGGTTAGTCTGGCCAATATATGCAATTTTTACCTAGCATTTTAGCTTCTTCCAGTTAATTAAATTAATGCTGGACTTTCCTGTTATTGCAAGAAATTTTGGGGATTTTCTCGGCATATTGTTTAATGCAAATTATGTGTTTTAATTTTTCATACCTTAATTGTTGTTTTCTACTTATACTCCAGCGTATAATCTGTTATACATGAAGAGACCAAATTTTAAACTATAATTACGTTTAAATAGTTGGCGTGTTATGGTACTCAGCCACCTTTGAAAAGCAAAACAGGCATATTCTTTATGTTGTTGTAACAACATATCTTTTACCCAAGTGAGAGACATGAAATTTTTGCTTTTGTCTGATGGCCAAACTGGAGCATAGTCAAGCATGTTGCCTATGGTTCTAGTGTGATCTGTTAATATAAGAGCTGATGCTTTTTTTTAGGGTATTTTTTAAAATATTTTTTACAGATATCTTAAAACTTTACCACTGATGCACAGTGTGTTTATTGCTTTTACATAACTTTTGACATCTTTACCCACTAAGTGTATGCTGACTTCTTGAGCCTTGCAGTATAATAAGGGTAACTTAGTACCCTTGTTAGTGGTAGAAGAGCACAGTATCTTTTAAAATTTGGCCTCCTAGACTTGACATAAACATAGTTCTGGAATGATTATGTTTTGTTGGGCAGTGATTTGACAAATAATGTTTCAGCCTTGGAAGATTAAAATAAAATGTCATTTTAAACTCTAAAATGTAATTTAAAATAGGGAAAAATGTCCAAATACTGAAAATGACATTCTGTAATTGAGGTAGTGTGATGACCATATACCTATTATTTGTATTATATGTGGCTTCTGCTGAACTACTGGCTTTAAATATTTGTGATGAAATTAAGCTATCTGTCATGTTTGTGACCAGTGGTTGCCAAATTTAATATAGACTAAGTGAACTGGTCCAGCTCTATCAAAATGAGGGGAAAAGTGGAAGGAGAAGGAGCTAGGGAGAGCAAGCTGTAAATTAAGTCCTTGATGATGTTCATGGTTGAGCTGCCAGTACTGCGGTTTAGGCTTATAATGAATTTAATTTTGTTTTTCAGCTTCACTGAGAAGTCCATACCCAGTGTAATTATTTCCCACCGGTACAAAGCCCAAGACACTCCAGCTCGTAAGACGTTTGAGCAGGCGCTGACGGGGGCCTTCATGTCGGCGGTCATCAAGGACCTGCGGCCGAGCGCGCTGCCTTTCGTGGCCAGCCTCATCCGCCACTACACCATGGTGGCCGTAGCGCAGCAGTGCGGTGAGCAGCGCGGGGGCCTTCACAAGCAGGGTGGAGAAGGTTCATCTTTGCTGTAGTAGTCATTTGTCTTAAGAAAGTCACGATGCTGCGGTGGCAGATATGTCTGTTGTTGTATGGCTGAATCACTTCTTTTAAGCACAGAATTTTGAAGGCCACTTTGAACACCAACTCATGATAGTTCCAAAATACCAAAAGCAGATGAAGTAATGTTTGGAACAGTCTCTACTTTCAGACTATTTGTATAATTTGATAGATTTATTTTTTATGTGTGTCTTTTAATTGGTCGTTTCCATTTACACTTCTGAAGGACCATCAGAGGACCTAAGTAAACATTACAGAGCACAGTGGTGTTTTTTGTCTGTGAAATAAATTGCTTGGAGCTGGACTGCATGACAAGTAATTTGAGAAAAGATATGCTATAACCATTTGCTTCCTCACTGTTGCTTTAATGTAACTTGACTTTCATAAAATTCTTAGTTTAATTAAATCTCCCTAGCAGACCTTTGCAGTGCATAGTCACTGAATGAGAAAGAAAAAAAAAATATTCAAGTAGATGAAATCGTTTTTCTTCCAAGACTGAAAAATGCCTTACCATCCATTTATATGCAAATAGGGAGAGTGCTTACTGGTTTTGCCATCAGCTCATCAGAGGAGTTGTAAAACCTAATTGAAAGACTATTCATACTGAAATATCCATTGTTTTGTCTTTTTTTCCTTCTTCCCCCTATATAAATTACAGGTCCTTTCTTGCTGCAGTGCTATCAGGTTGGAAGCCAGCCTAGCACAGCCATGTTTCATAGTGAAGAAAATGGGTCGAAAGGCATGGATCCCTTGGTGCTTATTGATGCCATCGCGATCTGCATGGCCTATGAGGAGAAGGAACTCTGCAAAATAGGAGAGGTGGCTCTCGCGGTGATATTCGATGTCGCAAGCATTATCTTGGGTTCAAAGGAAAGGGTAATAGAGCCTTTTTTTTTTTGTTCAGCTTGTTTCAGGCTCTTAATTCTGCTTCTGAACTTTTGGAGGCTGTCAATGAGTTGGAAAAAAACTAAAGTGCTAATACACTTCTTTGTTTCCAGGCTTGTCAGCTACCTTTGTTCTCGTACATCGTGGAGCGCTTATGTGCTTGCTGCTATGAGCAGGCTTGGTATGCTAAACTAGGAGGTGTGGTGTCCATTAAATTCCTCATGGAACGGCTGCCCCTGATTTGGGTCCTCCAGAACCAGCAGACTTTCCTGAAGGCACTTCTCTTTGTTATGATGGATCTAACTGGAGAGGTATTTAATTAGTGGGTTATATTGACTGGTGGGGAGGAACTATAATTCTTAAATTCAGATCAGTTGAACTCTGACTAATTCTGATGAAATCCAGAAAACTTGTGAGTGAAGTTTAGTCATTTTATCTTAAACCAAGACCCAAGATAAGGATTTTTTTTCATGTGTGTGTATTTGAATAATATGTAGGTTTGTGATCTTAGTGTTCTGTATTTAAAAATAAAAAATCCATGTTATCTTAGGTTTCCAATGGAGCAGTTGCTATGGCAAAGACAACATTAGAACAGCTTTTGATTCGATGTGCAACTCCCTTAAAAGATGAAGAAAAAACAGAAGAAATCTTAGCAGCACAAGAGAAGTCTTTCCATCATGTGACCCACGACCTGGTTCGAGAAGTGACATCTCCAAACTCTACTGTGAGGAAACAGGCCATGCATTCGCTGCAGGTGCTTGCACAGGTCACTGGAAAAAGTGTCACTGTGATTATGGAGCCACATAAAGAGGTGAGGAGAAATATTACTGAGAGTACAAGTGAGTTTAAGGTTGTTTACCAGTTGTGCTTTTTTGCAAAATGCTTTTCTGACTGCATTTTCCCATATTAGTGAAGTAAATTCTTAGTGCTTTGATAACAAATCACAGAGAGATGCTAGGTTTCACTGTTCTAAATACACTGTAGCTAAAATACTGTAGAGATTTGTACAAATTGTGTGTGAGTTTATTTATTTATAAAATTGGTAATGTCTTCTGTTCAAATTGACTTACTTTCTGAAATTACAGACTACACATCCTCCCACCAATCAGACATAGGCTAGACCAGGTAGCTAATGTATTTTGCACCATAATTTTGTGTCTCAAACTAAGAGACCCTGCTGTGCTTCTCCCTATCAGTATTTCCTAATCAGATTTTGCTGCCTACTCCTGAAAACTAATATAGCATTCATTCTCTTGAAACTCCAGTGAAAATACATAAGCCCTTGGGCCACCACAGCATATAAAACTGTAGATGTTATTATTGTAATTTGTGCATTTGTGCATTTACAGAGATGGCCTCTAGTTAAGATCCCTTTTTTATAAAGGTGCTTATGGAAGAGAGTGAAAAATTGTTGTAATGGAAAAATCTTGCATGAATGTTTTCATTTTCCTGATATTTTAGGAGCATGGAATGTGCTTGGTTTTTGACTTCAGTGTTTGTGAAGCTGAAGTCTACGATTTTCTTTATTAATGTTATTTTTATGAATGTTGCTTATACTATTATCTTAAGTTTATTAAATATCATATATCTGTTCGCAGAAAACCTGTAGTAATTACAGATGTTGAGCTTGTTCGCTAGCAAACGGTGCATTAAATTAGTTCAGAGAAATACTTGTTTAGTGATTTCTGAACAGATAAATTGATTGGCAGAGTAGCAAACGGATAAATACAGAGGGTTGTAGCTGCTGATGTCTCTGGTGCCGGATCTATGGGGTCATTTGAATAGGCTGCTAATTCAGTAATTGAAATTATACTATGTAGGTCCTTCAAGACATGGTTCCTCCTAAAAAGCACTTACTGAGGCATCAACCTGCAAATGCCCAGATTGGGCTGATGGAGGGGAATACATTTTGCACAACGTTGCAACCTCGACTCTTCACCATGGATCTGAATGTTGTGGAACACAAAGTTTTCTACACAGAGGTACGTTCCTTTTTTAGTCTCCCATTTGAATGCAGATACTCAGGTAGTGCTTCTGTTATCAATGTTAAAAATACACGTTTTTCTGTGAATTTGAACTTGTGCTGCAACATAAGAACTTACCTTTTGAAACATGAAAGGATAAAACTGTCAGCCTTTACCTGCAACCGAATACTTCTGGGCTGAGCAGAATGTTCTAATGCCTGTGAAACATTTAAAATGAACCTTGATGAGGTAGTGTCATAGTTACAGCTTTCTTATTTAGGCGTTATTTATGCACAGTATAAGTTGGAATCTTGTACTTTTATTTCTAGTAAGGTATTTGCCCCTCAGTCAAATTTAGGGATCAGTTAGCTGGGTAAATGAAGCAGCTCTGTTGGGGAAACCAGACTGAAAAAGTAGCTGATGAGACTGCTTCAAATATAATTCGTAATGCTAGGGTTAAATGTTCATTGTTTTTGTTTTTTCTCCTCTGCCCACCCACAGTTGTTGAATTTATGTGAGGCTGAAGATGCTGCCTTAATGAAGCTCCCATGTTACAAAAGTCTGCCATCGCTCGTACCACTTCGGATTGCAGCCTTAAGTAAGTTTCTAAACAAAATTTGATATAGAGAAGTGTTCTTGTGAGCAGCGAGTAGTCTTCTGCCCCAGAACTGCTGAAAATTTGAACATGAAAGCTGCTCACTCTTCTGTAGAGGTCACAGTTTAATGGGAAAGTGTCCCTTATGTTTCCTGAAGTTAGCCCAAAAAGTTTTTAAAGTACTTACATAATATAGCATAATGACAACTTTAAAACACTATTAATAGAATTTCCATTCTTTTTTTTGTTGTTATTTTATAGTGTCTATTGCTTTTGGCAAGGCATGCTGAACTTTAGCTGTCAGTAATTTAAGATGAAATAAATCTAAGTTTGAAGGGAATAAATGTAGAATAGAGATCTTTTTTTCCCCTCTCTTTTGAAAATGAGTTAACAAAGTGAAAAAATTTACGTTGATTTTTGCAGATGCCCTAGCTGCTTGCAATTACTTGCCTCAGTCGAGAGAGAAAATCATTGCTGCACTCTTCAAGGCCCTCAACTCCACAAATAACGAGCTGCAGGAGGCAGGAGAGGCATGCATGAGAAAGGTTAGTGTGTTTAAAGCAGTGCTGCACTGAGGCTGCTGTGTCTTCTGTTTTGCTTCCTTGTTACCAAAGCTTCTTGGGAAATGTCTCTATAGGGATTGATGGCTGCTCTGCTAAGTCTCATTAGTGGCAGCACTATAATTAAGTTTCTGTCAGTTGTGCTTTTTGAGGGGTTTGTATTTAGCTATAATAATTTTCTTCTGTTTGAAATTAACATTGTAAGCTCTTGTCCAAGTGCCCTGGTGCTCTCTCTCTCATTTTTTTAATAGTAAATATGTTTTTCTCATTAAAAGTGACAGGGTTTCCAAGCAGTCTCAAAAATGTGCGTGCGTGCTTTTATTTTAAAACCTTTTCTTGTGTTTCTGTTTTAAAAAGAACTGTGATGTGGAGATGCTGTGGCTGGTATTGGGGGTGGCAGCAGTGCAGCAGAGAGGCTCTGCCTTAAAGCAGAACTGATGCCTTAGGGCCCAGGGCTGCAGCTCCTCTGTTTTGGGTCTAAGCTCTCTGTACTATGGATTAAAAATACTAAAAGGATGTCCTTTTGCAAAATGAAATTAAAAATACTAACACCTTTTTGTGAGGAGGGATGGCTGGGGTGATGTATCCCAGGGAATGTGAGTATAACGGGTGGTTAGAAGTCAGATATCTCCTCTTTGTTTCCCTGGCCGTGAGAGGGAAGGGAAGGTGCTCTCTGCCGTGGTTTGCTGACAGTACGAGCTGGGAGCGATCCAAGAGAGCAGCTAAGGGCTGCTCTGACCTATGCCTGTCGTGTAAGAATTCTTGATTGTTTCCACCGCCTTCTCCTGTGAAAAATCTGTGCCCGTGCAGTGTTCAATGACAGCAAATACCCTGTCCAGGTGCTTGCAGCCAGATTATAAGCCAGACCTTTTGTGTTACTTAGGATGGTTGCAGGATGGATTTGCCATGTTGTCTTCAACCAGCTTCACAGACAAATCTTAATAAAGCAGTTTCTAGGTCCATAGTTTTGTATTTTATTTATAATTATGGCAGTTTTAAAAAGCCTTTTCTGTAATTAAGTTCCACCTATTTATTTTACAGAATATCCTACTATGCACGAGGAAATACCCTAGTACTTCTTGAATCCATCTTGTAATTCCAGTAGTAAAGGCATTTAAACTACTGCATTGTGAAAGTGCAAAATAAATAAGCTACAAGAAATAGTTTTAAGTAATGTGTTTGCACACAAATAGCCAAAGTTTTTCCCCTTCCTGCCACTTTAATTTTTACTCTCTTGCAGTTCTTGGAAGGAGCTACTATAGAAGTAGATCAAATTCATACACACATGAGACCATTGCTTATGATGCTGGGAGACTACCGAAGCCTGACGCTGAATGTCGTGAATCGCCTGACATCTGTCACTCGGCTTTTTCCAAACTCTTTCAATGATAAATTCTGTGATCAGATGATGGTAAGCCTCTTCATGTGTAAGAGTTGTCTTCTACCTAATATTTGCACTATTTAAAAGTAATTATTTAATGTATATATTAAAATAAGCTTTTGGTTTCCTAATTAGTAGAATAAAATATCTTTAAATACTTATAGGGTTAAAATTTGAGGTAATTTCTAAAGACCTACAAAAGCAAGAAATTAGGAGGTGCTTCACATTAAGTCATACCTAATTATGCTAGGGTCTGCTTGGACCAACCTCATTTAACAAGGTGTCAGTAGGATTGTATACTAAGGAAACCCTTAAAAACATATTTTATTTTTCTAATAAGTTAAGTCTGTTTTGGTCTTTTTTTTCTTTTGGTTAACAAAATTGTCTTTATTGTTTTCAATTGGGCAAAAATCACTGTCCTTTTATTCATTTTCATATTTAAAAATTGTATATCTATCATGCAAAACGTTAAACAAGTATGAACCTCTCACTATAGCATATTAAGCTTCAATTTTTCTATGCCTTTTGATCTGTGTATGTAGTCTCATATCCCTTCATTTCTTGTATAGGGAAATAACCCTTAGCGAACTGTAAAAGTCAGCTTATGTTGCAAGTGAGGGTGGTAGTTCAGGAGATGAGGGCTTCTTAAATCATTAAATATCATAGTTGCTTGTTCGTATAAAAATCAAATTAGTGGCAACTTCAGCCCTTGCTCTTTCTGTGTGATGCTTTCCAGTTTATATATATATAGATAGATAGATATAGTTTTTACAACAATCCCTTGCAGCCTCCTGTTACAGTGCCATGTTGTATCACTCCTGTATGATAATGTCCTGATGCTGAAATGATGCAGATAGTTTTCACATCCAAATAAAAGTTGTGGTCTTCTAATAGATTAATGACAACTTTCTTAGGTGACATTGTTGCTTCTTCAGTTTGGAAAATTCACATTAGGAACCATATTGTTTCAAATACTAAATTAACTTTCTCATGCCGAGGAACAAAAATAACTCCATTTCTCCTTGATTCCTCAAACAATAATTACTGCTTGTGCTTTTTCTTTTCTTGAAATATTTGCTGTCACTTGCTAAAATAGAACAGTGGAAGAATAATGCTATTTATTTATTTTAATAGCAACACCTGCGTAAATGGATGGAAGTGGTAGTTATTACACACAAAGGAGGACAACGGAGTGATGGAAATGTAAGTTAATGAATGCTTTTATGGGGGAACACAACACAGAAATCAACTGCATAAACGTTTAGGAAATGCAGAACTCGATTATAAATGTTACCCTAATTCGTTACGTGCTAATGTTTTGTTACATGTAAATGAAATTATTTATTGAGTATTTGTAACAGATCTTAGTAAAGGAGACTTCTTACATTCTAGGTACATTTAGTTAAGAGCCTGCCCTACACAGGTTTGTGCCGGAAAAGCTTATCAACTTTGCAGCTTTCGGCTTAGAGATCTGTTCTTTGGAATGGATGACGACTGCAGCAACATAATTTCTTTTTTTCCTTAATAAGTTTGTTCATACCGTATTATTTTGAAAATTATAGAAAATAACAGCATTTACTCCAGTTCATTTTAAATCTGATCTTTGAAAGATAGTTTGGTATTTATTAGTTGAGATTGCATCAAAATCTTCCCCTGCTCTCCCCCTGTCAAAGCATGGGAGCCTGATCAATGTTTTGGTAAAGGGGAAACTGCGTCGCCTGGCGAGAGCAGTGTGTGTTCCGCAGTGATACGGCGCTTAAGGGAATTCCTGCTTCAGTGCCGTTCATGTGGGTTGCCAGAAGTTCTGTAATGCTATTAGGATGTCATTAATAATTTATATTAAGTGTTCAGATTCATTATTGCATGAAGTAGGAACAAATTGGAGGGGAGTTTTATTAATTTCTTTGTTTTTCAAATTAGAATGAAATTAGATTGGCTTTTTATTTCCCTCAAAACATAAATTGTTTAATGGCTTTTCATTACTCTTTCCCGCCGTTGCAAAGAGCTTTTACATCTAAATTTAGTCATTGCTTTGTATTTGACCTAAATATTCTCTAATGAAGTAGAATTTGTTTCTTTTATTTTAACTTGGAAATGGTTACTCTCTGTGCATTTTTGAGTTGAACACTAATTTTTATTTGAGTCAGTATAGTTCTAAGGCCTCCATATTCTTCTGGGATTTGTGTTTTCTCAAACATGAAAATTGCAGTTATTGTACACATCTTTATATAGCAGTCATTTTCCAAACCACAGTGGGGCACCACTCTAGCAGTGTTTTAGTTGTCCTTGAACCATAGGCTTGAATCACATTTGATTGTAATTCTTTTGCTTTTAATGTCTTCTGTCATAGTTAATGTTTTCTGTGTAGTTCTGTGTTGAGTCTCTTATTGTCGGTTTAAAGTCTATATTGGTGGGAGGTACACATCAGAAACATGAGAAAAAATCTACTGACAAATCTTAAGGGAGGACAGAAGTCTGTAGAAAGACTTTCAAACAGAGAAGGAGACTTTGTGAGACTACAAAGCTGACTGAAATATGACTTCTTTTTTCCTGTTGTTTCTTTAAAGTTTTCTTAAGAATAAAAGCTATAAGAAACTGAAGGAGGGCACAGACAGTTATGTCTGTGTCCGTACTGGCAATGTGCTGTAATTGCAATCACATCTTCTAACCATGGGGAAGGCCAGGGTGGTGAGGCTGCTGGTTAGAGTTAGCTGTAGCTGACCTTTCACTTATTCTGGGTTCTTCTCAACCACGTGAAGATCCTCAAAATCTTGTGTGTTCCCATATGAGCTGTGCTGGGGAGGGCTCCTCAAGTGGATGGCATCATTCAAACTGAGTGGCTTGACCTAGGAGCTGGTAAACTCAGTGCAGGATGGAAGTGACCAGGAAACCCTCATATTTGCTAGGTAAACTGATAGAGAGTAGTGTTACTGTAGGATTTTTGACCTAAGCAATTTCCATCTCTTTTTCAGCTGCGCATTTTGAAGGTGCCAATTTTGAACTCTCTTGCTTTGGTGGTAGTGTTGGTGTGCAGCTCTGGCATCCTGCACAGAGTGGATGGTCATCAGGGCCTCTTTCTGGAGCACGCTGCTTCAAACGTCTGGAGAATGAGCTTTCTAATGCAAAAAAATGACAGTTTTACACAAAGTAAATATTTCAGACGTCTGCATTAAAACTGATGCATAATAATTTACTCTTGATCCCCATTGGTGTCAAAACATCTTAAGTGATTGATTGACCTAAACTGTTTTACAGTAGCCCTAACGTGTTCTTGAATTGACTTGCCTGATTCAGTAATGAGGAAATAAGTAATATCTTACTTATTTGTTGAAATGAAGATTTGTTGAAATGAAGATTTAATTCATTGGCAGAATAATTTAGTCTTTGTTTTAAATAAAAACATGCCTTTCTTTGCAGAGGTAGAGAAGAGAAGGAGTTAAATCAGTCGTAGAAAAATAAGCTTTAAGCAGATTCCAAAATCAATATTGGACAGCGTTGTCTTTGAAGATAATAAATATTGTTCCCTTGCTTTAATAATCTCTAATATCTCTCTGTATATATACTTGGGAAGCTGTGCATAAGCAATGTACAGAGAGGGGAAAAAAGGTGTCTTGTGTCCTCGTTCTTAGGAGAGTAATATTAAAAGTGGGAGGTGGTTGTGTGCCCCTGTGCTCAGCCCAAGCTGAACATCCCACCCTCCTGAAGTCGGGTCTGGCTGCAGTCCGCAGAACGGTGTACGCTGCTGTGTTCATTTATTTCATGTTTTTGTGGGGTTTCTCTTTTCATGCTGAGACTTCTGCTTTGGTTCAGCCTGCCGTGGAAGGGGTAGAGGGGAGAAACTCCTCACAGTGGAGGCACCAGGCAGCTCGTCGTTGTTGTGTTTTGGTTCTCTTCCTGTGACTCGTTAGTCCTCTCGTGGTGTTCTGGGCAGAGTGCGTTGTGCCTCCGCGTGCTGTGCGTTGTCCCACGTGTGTCTGTGGCAGAGGTGCTTGGTAACCTTGCCGTTGAGGATGTTAAGCGTGTTTGTGCTAGGAAGAGCAGGATTTGTTTGTTTGTTTATTTATTTTTAAAGTACTTATGTCTTGATGGATTTTTGTGTGTGTTGTTCTCTGTCCTGCGCTTCAGTCTGACAGAATAATCTTTGGGTCCCTCTGGGCAGGTGGCGTCGAAGGAGTGAGGCTCAACACATAACTGTCTAAACTCAGCAGAAGAAGCTTAATCCCTTTGAAAATACCCCATTGTATCCTGTGTTTTAGAAATGGGCTTGAGAGAGATGTTGAGGAGGGCATTGTAGCTTGGTGGTTTATTTATTTATTTGTTTTCCTTTTTGTACTAAAGAAAAGCCACAGTCTGGTTAACTGAAATACAGTTCACGTTTAAAATTACACAATGAAAGGAGAAAAAAATCTTTTTTGGAGGAATTAATTTTAATATCTGGGGGAGGAACAGAGGTGACTTTCCTGTAGAGTCGATGGCTGTTGCAGCCTCTCTAGAGGAGAGCTGGGCTCCCTGTGAGCTCTGCTCATGGCCTAGAAAGGGAGCTTGGAGCTGCCTGAGCACCAACCAGCCCTCACTGTGGGGTGGTAGGAGCACCCCAGGACACCCCTTGGCACCCTCAACAGGCTGCAGAGGCCACCTCTGCAAAACACCACTCTCCTGGCACAGGAAATAAAATTAAAGATGACTTTACTGGAGCTGTTGTGTTGGGTGGGGGGGAACAAATTCCACAAGAGAAGTCTATTCTGTGCATCAGGGTAAGTAGATCTTAACTCCTTGCTCTTGGTTGCTGGCTATGCCAATATAGAGAAGGATAAAAGTGCCAGGAGAGGTGATACCATTGTTCATGTTTGTCTGGCAATGTTAAATTGCTCATGTTTTTGCCTGTAGGAAATGAAGATTTGCTCAGCAATCATAAATTTATTTCATCTGATCCCAGCCGCTCCACAGACTTTGGTTAAACCTTTGCTGGAAGTTGTGATGAAAACAGAGCGAGCAATGTTGATCGAGGTAAAATCGGAAGTTTTTTTTTTTTTTTTTTTTTTTTTTAAAAAAGTTTTTTTTTAATTTTTTCAATATTGGAAAAATTTTTTTTTTTTTACTTGGAATTAACACTTTATTAGGCTTCTAAAAGCAATTATTAAATTTCTCAATAAACTCAGAATGGAAGTTCTAAACATTTAGTATCTGTGTAAATGCCAAATTAAATGCTTTTCTGAGTCCTAGTAAATTAATAGACAAATAAAACCACTCCATGCTCTGCATTTTTCATTTAAGCGTTGTTATTTTTTTCAGGCTGGCAGTCCATTCAGAGAACCACTGATAAAATTTCTGACACGTCATCCATCCCAGACTGTTGAGCTGTTCATGATGGAAGCCACTTTAAATGATCCACAGTGGAGCAGAATGTTTATGGTAAGTTGAAGAAGTAAAAATCTTCACAGATCTGATGAATTAGAAGTTTTGACTTAGCTTTTATCTATCTGCTTTTAGTTTTTCCTCCCATATTATCTTATAGTCCCTAATCATAGTCTTATTTTGAATGTAGGGTGCCTGTTCCATGGTCTTTTTTTTCTTTTTTCTTAACAGATTTTATGCCTTTACAAATTATGAAGTTTTATCACTAAAGTTAGCCTATTTTTATATAAAAATAAATATAATCTATGCACTACAACTGCATATATAAATATTATAAAACTACAAGATGAAATAAGCCTGTGGTATGACTTGCTTTTAAATGTTGTTACTAAAATTATCTTTTCCCTTTCCTCAGAGTTTCTTAAAACATAAAGATGCCAAACCTTTACGAGATGTACTGGCAGCTAATCCAAACAGATTTATCACTCTACTGTTACCTGTTGGTACCCAAGCAGCTGTTAGACCTGGTTCTCCAAGCACTACTACAATGCGTCTTGATCTTCAGTTTCAGGCTATCAAGGTATTCATTTTTTCTTTTTTGTCTTTGAGCTGGATAGTTATATTATAATTTCTTTAAGATTTTTATATGCCTTCAGGTGTTCTTTTAATTATAGCTCATTTAAAAATACTTTTTAAAAAATCAGCTAAGGTTCAACAAGTAAACTCACAGCAAGGGAAATTTCCTTTAAAAAAGCTCTCTTTAAAATCATTCTAAGCTAGTTATATTTTACTTTTCTTTGGATGATTTTAAAACCCTAAATCGCCTTGAAACAGATGCTTTTTTATAATCATTGTTGCTACTGACACAACTGTTGCATGTTGACAGTGCATTTGTCTTGTTTTGCTTTTGACAGATCATAAGTATTATTGTTAAGAATGATGAATGTTGGCTGGCAAATCAGCATTCCTTGGTGAATCAATTGAAACGTGTATGGGTGAGCGAAGCTTTTCAGGAGAGGCATCGTAAGGAGAATATGGCTGCAACAAACTGGAAAGAACCTAAGCTGTTGGCATATTGTTTATTGAATTACTGCAAGTATGTAGAACCGTTTGTTTTCTATAGCTCATGCACCTTTTTTTTAAGTTATTTTGAAAGTATTGTGAAGACATGTAGATATACTAAAAGGAGACTGCAATTATTGAAGATAAGGTTTAACTAAGGTTTTCCATAATATTGCCATTGACTCTTAAAACCTGCCTCCTGGTGGCTCTGGGTTGTTGAATTTTGCTTCTTCATTGACTTATAAGCATATAGTAGGTTGGTAGATGATTTTTCACAGAAGCTTTTTATGTGTTTTTACAGAAGGAATTATGGCGATATAGAGTTGCTTTTCCAGTTGCTTCGAGCTTTTACGGGTCGTTTTCTCTGCAATATGACTTTTCTGAAGGAATACATGGAAGAAGAGATTCCCAAAAACTACAGCATATCTCAAAAACGGGCTTTGTTCTTCCGGTTTGTGGACTTCAATGACCCAAACTTTGGAGATGAGCTCAAAGCCAAGGTAACTGAAGCAATTAAGTCAAAGTAGTCTGGTATTTAGGTATAATTTTCTTCTTGGGAACTAGGGTAACGAAACTCGCTTACTTAAATGTCAACGAGTTTGGTAATTGGCAGAGCCATTTAAGTGAAAATATCATACCTGAGGAAGAGCAATAATAAACAGAGACAGCAATTCATCTTGCTTTCAACATTGACTCTTTTAGTTTACACTTTCTAAGAATCTTTGCCCTTGGAAGAAGGAAAGAGGAGGAAGAAAAAAATCCATGTACATCTGTTCCTTAAGGTTTTCCTTGTAACTTTTTTTGAGAATCAAATGAACATCTTTAACATGCAGATTTGCACGCAAAATAAATTGAATACTGACTGTCATTTAGAGAATAAAGTAGTCTGGTATAGCTGCCTTGTATTTCTGTTCTGCAGGTGCTGCAGCATGTCCTCAATCCTGCTTTCTTGCACAGTTTTGAAAAGGGAGAAGGTGAACAGCTTTTGGGACCCCCAAACCCAGAAGGAGATAATCCAGAAAGCATCACTAGTGTTTTTATAACGAAGGTAACAATCTTTGCTTGTATTAAAGCACTTGAAAATCAAGCTGCAATTGAAAGTCATTCCTTCATTTGGCTTTTCAGTCCTGATTTGAGTAATTTTTGCAATTTCAATGTATTATGATCAGTAATATGAAATCATATCATAAAACTTGGAACTTTTGAGATCCATCAGTTTTCAGTAGGACACTTAATTTACTTATGATATACTTTTGTAACTTAACTTGAGTTTCCTTAAGCCGGTCAGCAATTATAAAATGGATGTTGTTCCAGATGGGTTCTTTTTATAGGTTGGATCTTTGGAAGTTCCTAGGTGTGTTGACTATTAAAATTTTCTCACCTCAGGAGGTGATCTGATGGATCTTGACATGACTTTTAAAAGTGATTTTAAGTATCTTCTTCAAACTAACAAACAATGAAGCAAAGCCCCAAATTAAACAAAGAATCAGAAGGGGAAAAAAAAACAAAGAAAAATGACTGTTCTTATATGTCATGATTTTTGTTTTTTTCTCTTTTCCCCTGTCATCATCCTTGCAACTAGGTCCTTGATCCAGAGAAGCAGGCAGACATGCTGGATTCCCTCAGGATATATCTCCTGCAGTTTGCCACGCTCCTGGTTGAGCATGCCCCACATCACATCCACGACAACAACAAGAACCGCAACAGCAAACTGCGCCGCCTCATGACTTTCGCGTGGCCCTGCCTCCTGTCAAAGGCGTGTGTGGACCCAGCCTGCAAATACAGTGGCCATTTGCTCCTAGCACACATCATTGCAAAATTTGCCATACATAAGAAGATAGTGCTGCAGGTATTGTCTGTATACTTGTATTCGTGCACCTAAAGAATGTTAGTAATTTACTTTATAATGCCAAGTAGGAGATGTAGAATAGTTTTGGATGCCTAGTATGTGAGTAGTAAGCAAGCTTGTTCTCAGCAAGCAAGTGCAGAAGCACCAAACCTAAAACTAATACATATTTTTTGGGGGTAGGAGAATGTAGAACGACATTTGGAACCACGTGAGTAGAGAGAGAGGAAGGGGACAATGGCAAGTGGTACATGTTGAATTAATGGAGATGGCAATGTTTGTTCATTGGAGACCGATATTTCACCTGAGACAGGGAGTGGAGACCAAAGGAAAACTTCAGTTTAGTCCATGGAGAAGTAAAAATGAAAAGGGAGGTAAAGGAGATAGAAGCAGTATGTTCAACAAAATATCACTGTGTATATACCAAGCTATCATACTCTAGAAAAAAAGTCCATGTTGCTTAGAAGACATATGGTGTATTTTCTTCTTTTATAAATACTATATATTTATGAAAATACATAAGGTTGATCAGAAGCTTTCCCTTTTAGGTTTTTCACAGTCTTCTAAAAGCTCATGCCATGGAGGCTCGTGCCATCGTCAGGCAAGCAATGGCTATTCTGACTCCAGCTGTGCCTGCCCGAATGGAGGATGGACATCAGATGCTGACTCACTGGACACGAAAAATCATTGTAGAAGAGGGTCACACAGTTCCACAATTAGTACACATTTTGCACTTGATAGTACAACATTTCAAGGTACTTGTACCATTTATTCTGGTAGTCACTGTATCATAAATATTAAGGAGGTGAACTTCAGTTTAATTAAAAAATAATGCCATCCTGATTATATGACTTAGTTTCAAAAGGCATCAGCTCTCTTCAAATGTGTTTGATTAAAATTGAAAAAGTCTCTTACAATTAATGTTATATGACAGATTCTGAAGTATTTTTTTTTCTCAGTTTTGATTGCATTGTTTGTTGGTTCTCTTTTTTGCTCAAATATCTCTTGTATCACTTTGGTATTTGCACAACCTGCCTTGATATGGCTTTGTGAACTGCTAAACAAGCTCCCTGAAGAGCACGTGTTTTTGAAATGTCAATTCAATTTAAGTGAAAGATCAAGCTGGCCCTGCTGCAGATAAGCCTAAAAATGAGCCTGCGTGTGGAACACTGTTGTGAGATTAGGAGCTGCCTGGGTGCTAGTGGAACAGCTTGAAGTTAAGGACTGAAGCAGGAGTGGCTTGTTCCAATATAGAGGAGTTGATGAGTATGATTCTTTGGACTGGTACTGGGTAAAGCAAATAATATATATGTTGTTTCTTGAAAATTGGAATGCTTAATATAGTTTAAGAAAAAACTTGTTGTACTTATTTAAACTTAGACACAGGGTTTTTCCTCAAGTAGTGGAAGAATGAGCTTTATTGTTGTTCTGATTGCCAGAGGTCTCGAGTAGCGTTCTGTCGTGCTGCAACATAACTTCCCTGAGCGTGTCCTGTTCCTTTCTCCTGTATTCACAGCTGTGACTTTGCCATGCCACTACTTTTCTGCTTGTTTAGTTTTATACTCACTTAACTTGGAACTCAAGGGGGACAAATGAAACTGCAAGATTAATTCAGTGTATGCTCATTAACACTGCTCATTAACAGAGCTGTGAAGTTTCTTTAAAATTAAGTTACTGAAATTGTTTGTCCTTAGCCTCTAGTGATATCTTCCAATAGTTCCTGAGTTGTTTGTTTGGCCTCGTGCATTCTGTGGGGTTAACTATGACATTTATTATCTCCAGCTCATATATGTTGGGAAACATTAAATAGATTGGAGAATACTGAAAGATTTCAAAACAGGAACTTTTTTGAGAATACAAATTAAAAGCATTAGCAAAATGGATACCAAAGGCAGAGTTAGCTTGCTTTAATGTGAATTTTATTTTACACTTGACTTTTTAAAAAATAAAAATATTAACATAATTTAAAGTCACCTTTTAGGAAAAAATATTGAAAAAGTATCTAAGTGTTTTCAAATGAGTTGTAGCGCTCTAAAAGGATTGGATCCTTGGAAAAATCACATTCTGCAGAAAATCCTCATTTGGGTACATGAAACCAGTAGTTACTACTGAAAATTGTAGCCGAAATTTTATTTTCAAACCACTCCCTATTTTTTCTACTTGCAAACAGGGTATGTGGAACAGATTAAGCACACTTTAGGTTTAAAGACTGTTTTATTACTTTGTTTTAATTTTATTTCTTTATTTCAATACTTTTTTTTTTTTCCTCCTCCAGAAAATGTTACTGGCGTTTGACTAACGCTTGTGAAACCTCCTTTTCAGGTTTATTATCCAGTGAGACATCACTTGGTTCAGCATATGGTTAGTGCCATGCAGAGACTGGGCTTCACTCCCAGTGTTACCATTGAGCAAAGAAAATTAGCTGTGGATCTTGCCGAAGTAGTTATTAAATGGGAATTGCAAAGAATTAAAGACCAGCAGGTAGGAACTCTAAATAAACTGGTTAAGAATGGACTCTTACGCTGTTAAACTCTTTTTAACATAAACAGTTACAATATTTCAGCCAGATTCAGATATGGATCCAAGCGCCAGTGGAGAAGGAGGAAGTTCTACCTCGTCAGCTGTTAAAAGAGGATTGTCTGTTGATTCTGGCCAAGAAGTGAAACGATTCAGGACAGCTACTGGAGCAATAAGTGCTGTAAGAGAAGCTCAGGTTTTGTTTAGAGATTCTAAAGTTATAACCTGCATTGACTAAGCAATTAGTTTGCTTGTTTTTCCATAGCTTGTAACTCCCTGAATTCACATTTGCCTAGAAAATACTTCAGATGTTTTCTGCTTGTTGCCCTTCTTGCAATGTTGGTTACGCATTTTGTGTCTTGTATTTGTGCAGGTATTTGGACGTAGCCAGTCACTGCCAGGAGCTGATGCTCTGCTTTCCAAGCCCATTGACAAGCAGCACACGGATACAGTGGTCAACTTCCTGATTCGGATTGCCTGCCAGGTAGTGTTCTTGTTCTGATGTGCAAGTAGAGGAAAGATGAACCATTTGAGAATGTCCACAGTTGTTGTAATGATGTCTCAGATTAAACTTTTTTGTATATCTCTGGGTCATTTCAAGTATTTAACTAACAGGTTAGGTCCAAGTTTTGATGTTTACTGTTAATTGTCGCCTTTTTATGCAGTAAAATACTGTAAGGCTATAGCGATAAAATTAAACTCATCCATTTCAGAAATAACACTTGCCTGGAATGCATAAAAATTAATGTGCTGGTTACAAAAAGATGTCATTTTGTTACTCTGATTAATTGCTAGGTAAATGACAATTCAGTCACGGCTGGATCTCCTGGGGAGTTGTTGTCTCGACGTTGTGTCAACCTCTTGAAAACAGCTTTACGACCAGACATGTGGCCAAAATCAGAACTCAAACTGCAGTGGTTTGATAAGCTGCTAATGACTGTGGTAGGTAACTTCTTAGTCTTGTAGGGCATCGGGGGGGTTCTTTAGCACATATATTATTTGTGAAATAAAGTGTTGGAGGTGTTTTTCAAGTTTAAAATTTCTGGACTAATGTGTCTAGTAAACATTCGTTTTTGTTTCTACTGTGTGACCTTTGACTTTATCTTTTAATTTACAGCATAGCTTAGTTCTGAATTTGAAATAAAATGTCAAGTCATATAAATACTAATTTAATTCACTGCAATTTTTTGGAAAAAAAACTGGAACTGCCTGGGGGTCTACAGGCCTCTTGTTGGTGCACTAACGTGGCTTGGACTTCCAGGGGATAAAACCAAATGGTCAAAATTTTAATCTGGGTATAAATTTTTACAGTCTTAATCTTTTCTGCTAAATAGTGAAACACATAGAGTGTGTGAAGTGTGTGAATTGCACCAATTCTGTAATTTGTATCGCTGCAGTACCTATGGATATTAAAGTGGAGTTAGGAGCACGTGGATTAGCTTTCCAGTATTATTTCAGTTCCTTTGAAATAAGTTTGTTTGTTCAGATGGCCTGCTGTTTTTTTGAAGGTATTTTAAACTTTCTGCAAACATAAGTTAGTTATTTTATTGGTTGCTAGTTTTGTAGTTATATTAGGGTAATCTTGAAGATCATCCAAAGGCTGGTTTCCCACACTTGATGATACAACCTATTTTGTTTTAGCTGTATAGCACACGTGCTGAATTATCTGTATGCTTTTTGGTGTTATAATATGGTATTGTATGTTTGAAGACTTTGTAGAACCATGCACTTTACTGTTTTATATTGCATGACTTATCTAAAAGGATAAATGTAAAACATCCCCAATATAGAGACCTCAAACGTGTTTTACACTTTTTCAACAACTTACTGATCTGTTAAATACTTGTTTTCTTTTCTTTTGATTTCATGTGCACTTACTGAACTGTTAAATACTTGTTTTCTTTTCTTTTTTTTTTTTTCTGCCAACTCACTGTCTTACTGTTTGTTCTCTTTAGGAACAGCCCAACCAGGCCAACTTTGCCAACATTTGCACTGGCTTAGAGGTGCTGAGTTTTCTGTTAACCATCCTGCAGCCCCCTGCAATACTCAGCAGCTTCAAACCCCTGCAACGAGGTGTAGCAGCTTGCATGACTTGTGGAAACACCAAGGTTTTAAGAGCAGTGCATAGTTTGCTTTCTCGCTTAATGGGTATTTTTCCTACAGAACCAAGTATGTGGTATTTTCTTCCTCGTTTTATCCTTTACTGTTGCATACCTTAAGTGATTAAGGGTGGAATGAAGAAAATGTGGAATGTGCTAATATTCTGTTTTATGATTTTTGCATTTAATGATCCATTTTAGCTTGCACTTTCAACCTCTGTTCAAGAAAAGAAAAGCTGAAATGAGTAATCATTTGAAATACATCATTATCCACATAAAAACCCATAATAACCCATAGCTGTCATAACTTTGGTTCCAGAAATGCAAGCTATAAATTTAATGTATTTTGCAATTATAATTCTTCTGCTTCAGAAATACAGATTTTTTAGTTGTTAAGCCATGCTGTTTTGCTAAAAGATGGGAGGGGGATTGGATGTTAGAAAGAAAAAAAAAATGACTGGATGAGCAGCTTACAGTTATGTTCAACCATGTTGTGATTTAAGCTAATTTTTATATATATGTATACACACATACACACCTTTTTAAGAGAAACCTCAGTGATCTAAGAATTCTTGCCAAAACGAGGTATACAGAGGTAGCGGTACCCTAATATGTAAGATACACTGAGTAGAGAGATCTCTTTGTGCTACCCTTTTATGATTTATTACCAAGAACCACTGATTTATTATCAAGTACTGCTGATAGTATGGGTGACTGGATGCACACAGTGGAATTTTCTTGTCTGTTCTTTGGCTAGTATTTCCAAAAATAAATATAACCGTCAACTCTGCAGGTACCTCAAGTGTTGCTTCAAAGTATGAAGAGCTCGAGTGCCTTTATGCTGCAGTCGGAAAGGTTATTTATGAAGGACTTACTAATTATGAAAAAGCCACTAATGCTAACCCTTCCCAGCTCTTTGGTAAGTTTCCCATGTCTCTAGTAGTTTATTAGTATGATTGCGGCCATTAGCATTATTTGCTATAAGGAAGCTGAAATCCAGTAACCATGCAGAAGAAGCTGTGGGATGTGATTGGATCCCAGCTTGAGATGTGAGCTTTCTTTTTCAGTTGTTTTTAAACCGTCATTTATCAGCTGATTTATTCATTCATTTATAGATTTTTGAATTCTCACTAAATGAGGAATCATAGGAATACTACATTTTTGTACTGGAAGAGCAAATCTGATTTTTTAGCATGTATCGTTCTGAAAAGCTAAAATATTTTTCTTAAAGTATGCCTGTTTAACTGGTAGGGAACTCGAGCTGCACATGACAATGGCAGAGATGGATTGGAATAACAGAAATTTGGCCCAGAACTGGTTGTGTTGGTAAAGCAGACCTGAAATTGCAGAATTCTGGAAAGCTTGCTGATTTAAATGGCAAATGTCCTTCATTGTTCCATCCTGTGATCTGTGCAGGTAGCTGCAATTTCACTTTGGGAATTACCTATTTGTCAGGTGTCAGGATGTGCTGTGCAGCAAAGTAACCAAGAAGGATACTTCTTGCCTTTACTCCAGAGTTCACTTAAAGGCAAGACTGTGCTGTTTCTTTTAGGTTGGGCAAATCCTATTAATTTTTTGTTTAAGTATGCTAACTTTAATGCTAGTTGTGAGCAGGAAAAGAAATCAAAACCTTGAAACCAATCATTCAATGAAAGAAGCATAATTCTATAAATATTTCTGTAGGCTCTTGTTGCAGTAAGGAAGGGATAGTTGTAGGGTTTTTAGAGGATATATTTTGACAGAATGTACTTCTAAAGGGCAACTGTTTTAGAGAGGTACTGGTAAAACTGGCTTGCACAATGGTGAATAAGTTCTTACTGGAAAGACATTGGTAGCAGCTCTGTAGTTTGAACTTGGGTCTTGTAGGCTTTGCACACGTGTGAGCTGGCTGTTTCCACAGTGTTGCTATTTTTCGGTCTGCAGTAACTGTTTTACGAATCTCTCTAGAAAGTTTCTAGATTAGAAAACCAATATTGTGCAATGTTTTTATTTTTCCACTATTTGTACTAAAAACAGGCCTATTCATGTAAAAGTTCATTTTTCCCACTAAAGCATCTATACAGAATAGTTTAATTTTGCCTGTTCAAATATATTTGTTCTTAATGTCTTTGGAGAAGTATCTGCTCTCAATCCATGTCTGTTTTTTGCCTCTATCCTCTTCAAATCATACATTTATATGCAGAATTTCAAAACATTTTCACTAATGTATAAGGAAAAACACTATGCAATATTATCTTTTTAGGCTTTTCTTCAAATCTGTCCAGATTTCAAGTCTTTAACTTGGGTAGTCTTGCGCTGCTTTCATGGCAGGACAAAATCCTCTGTATGGCTAGAATTTTCCTGTGTTCTCTCACAGAACAAGAACATCTACATGGAAATCCTTAGTCTTATTCTGCTCAATAAAAGTTTTGCTATGTTAAATATTGTTTTTATCTGCAGGTACTTTAATGATTCTCAAGTCTGCGTGCAGTAACAACCCCAGCTACATTGACAGATTGATTTCTGTTTTTATGCGGTCCCTGCAGAAGATGGTCAGGGAACACTTAAATCCCCAGGCTACAGCAGGAACAGCCGAAGCAAATACAGGTATTACATTACACAGCGTAATGATGGTAATGATTAAAAGTCTTGTAATTGTGTGTTAAATCCCCGTCTTTCCAAAGGGATTAAAATGATTTTTGTAGAGGTCTGTGGACATTACTAAATATTGAAAATTAGTTCAGTATTAGTGAGAATTATTCTAAAGTGTTGAAGGATAAAAATGCTCTTTGAGTTCCTAATACCTGCTTAATATATTAATTTGAGTATTAACCCAAGCATTTTAAGAGATAGTTAGTGAATACTTGCTGAGCTACAGCATATACAGAAATGTAGTGCAGAGGGAAGGAGGTTGACTTTTTTTAAAGATTTTGTCATATGCTTTCACTTTTTTACTCCTTTCTATGTGATAATAAAAGAGAAATTGCTTGTGAAATTAACTTTTTGGACCCCCAAAAAATAGACTCTTTTTTTTGTCAGTAAAAATCTGTCATTGAGCAAATTAGGTCATAAGTCACTGAAAAGTCAGTTATTTCCTACTGCTGCTCTTAAAATTTCACTGGTCTGTCTTGAAAATTATTCTCTTATAGGTGTTTGTAAAGCCTTTTGTTTGTTTATTTGTTACTACCTGTAGCAGGTACAAGTGAACTCGTAATGCTGAGCTTGGATCTTGTGAAAACTCGCCTAGCTGTGATGAGCATGGAAATGAGGAAAAATTTTATACAAGCCATTCTAACGTCTCTCATTGAGAAATCTACTGATGCCAAAATTCTTCGCGCGGTAGTAAAAATAGTGGAGGAGTGGGTGAAAAACAATTCCCCAATGGCAGCTAATCAGGTAAATAGAGAGGATAAATTAAAATAATTGCATTCAAATACTAAATAAATACAAGCCATGCTAGTGTTATATTTTGTCAGCTTTTGATAATGAGGTTTGCAAAGATCTGGTGTATAACTTTTAGATGCCATTTAAATGGTTTTGAATATTCTGCATCCCCTATGAAACTAACTGGAATTGAAAATGTTTAGCAATTTATAGGTTGATAGTATTTGTTTTATCTGATGATGTTGGCTTCATCTGTTTTGCCTGGTACTTGCTTTAAAATAACAGTTATATTTAACAGTATATGTTAACAGTATATGTTAACTTGCGTAGAGATTTCCTTTACATGGAGATTGACTAGTTTAAATGCTAGTTGAAATCATTTCATTCCTGTAACATTGTGCAGCCCCTTAATTTACAGTATTTTGTATGATAGTTGAGTACTTTACAGTCTATTGCTATATAAAAGGAGGTATTTTTTTAATTAGATTTTTTGTAATCATTAAGCAATGTAAACTTGTCATTAGTCATTGTTTTAAATTTCTGGAGCTGTATATTAGAAGTATAAATGCTTGAGTTATTTTTCTTCTTAAGACTGTGACCTTCCACCAAGCTATTTTTCAGTACTTCAGGAGTGAAAAAGTGATATAAGGGATGGCTGAGACATACTTTGAATGTACCAGTTTTCTGTGTGCTTTAAGATGAATTGACAAAATTAATCATGTCTTCTTTTAACACAGACACCTACTTTACGAGAGAAGTCTATTTTACTAGTGAAAATGATGACTTACATTGAAAAGCGTTTTCCAGAAGACCTTGAATTAAATGCCCAGTTCTTAGACCTTGTTAACTATGTCTATAGGTAATTATAGCAATTAATCATTTATTGCAGTTTATTGCTTCATAATTTGTACTATATATGACCTTTATAATGTGCCATCCATCTTTTTAAGTTCTGAATTAAATATTTTTTTCCCCTCAAACTGAGAATTTCATGAAATCATAGTATTTGCTTACTATAGCTGAAGATACAATGTGAAAATAAGCATCCCTTAAAAAGGATTATGATTCTGGTTCTTTGAAAATATCCCTCTGCTCTAATGTCCCACTCTCCCACGCTACCAGGGCATCTTAATAGTTGATCATATTATAAATACAGCGATGGTAGCTAAAATCTCTCTCTCCTTTCATCCAAAGGGTTGAAAAAAAAGATTTTTTTTCTTGAAAGTTAGTAGTACAATATAATTTGAGGAGAGTTACTTTGCTAGCTCAGCAGGCAGATTTTGTAACATAATAATATAATGAAAATACTTCCTTTATCAAAAGCATCAGGTGTTTTCTTTTGTGCTAATGATCCACATTATTTTCAGCTACTGCTGCCGTTCTCTTTCCTACTTAACTATGCAAGGTCCTGGAGTGCTGGAGTGGACATGGCACTCGGCAGTTTTTCTCAGTGAAGGTTACCCTGACATTTCAAACAGGGATGCAGTTGTGGCTGAAATTGATTATTATTATTTTTTTTTCCTTTCACATTGCGATGAAATTTTGTCCTAATTTAACAAATTTGTGATAGCTCTAAGGCAATTTTCTACCAAGCAGTAATATTTTATTCGGTGTTTCTCTCAAAATGATGGACCTGGGTGTATTAGAGCTCCATCAAAATATCACCTCCCTTGATTTCAGTGTTGTTTGAACTACATAAATTTATGTAAGTTGTATAAACTAGATAAAGTCTAATATCTTTGTCATTATTTCTCTCTTTACTTTAGGGATGAAAATCTTTCTGGTAGTGAACTTACTGCAAAACTTGAGCCTGCGTTTCTTTCGGGCCTGCGTTGTGCTCAGCCACTCATACGAGCCAAATTTTTTGAGGTCTTTGACAATTCTATGAAACGTCGAGTTTATGAGCGCCTACTTTATGTGACCTGTTCTCAAAACTGGGAAGCGATGGGAAATCACTTTTGGATCAAACAGTGCATCGAGGTAGGTAAATTACTCTTATCAGAAATGCAGTTATAATTCTAGAAATGGGATTTATTCCCTATTCTTCTTGGCTGTGTGCAAGTGTTATGCAGTGTGTATTTTGGAGTGTATATTTTCTGTATCATAACTAAAAATACTCTGCTGTCTCAGACACTTCCCACGGCATTTAAAAATAAATACAAAGCTAAACCATGAGAAGCGGATGCTTGGAAAATGATTATTTTACACATGTTAGTATGATATTTTTAATTCCGTTACTAAACTTAAATTGTGACCCCTTTTTTTTCTTTTTTCTCAATAACTACAAAAATACAAAACCCATATGTTTAAGAACTCTTCTTGTTTTGTTTTTTAATATCTAGCTCCTGTTGGCAGTGTGTGAGAGAAATACCACCATTGGGACAAGTTGTCAGGGTGCTATGCTGCCTTCTATCACCAACGTCATCAACCTTGCTGACAGTCACGATAGAGCAGCGTTTGCTATGGTCACCCATGTCAAGCAGGAGCCTCGAGAAAGGGAGAACAGTGAATCCAAAGAAGAGGTAACTTCTAGAAAATAGTAGAAAATAGAATAAGAAAGCTTTTGGATTAAAATAACTTTCTTGTTTTCTTATCAAATAAATTTGGAGGATATGTCCTGAAGATGATGTGCATAGGTTCAGCATCCTTTTTGTTAGTTTATTAAAATAGTTTGTATCACTGTTAATAATGTGACATTTTAGCCATGTGTTTGGACTCTCAGAATTTGTTTGCATTCACTGTAGAGCTCTAGAAATTCCATTTCTAAACCTGAAGAAATATCAGAAAGAAATAGTGAGACCCGAAGTAAATACATTTAATTTTTAAAATTATTTATTTGTAAGGAAATAATAATAATAATAAAAAAACTGCGTATTTGAGGTTGTTTGCTGTTTTTTAGGATGTTGAAATTGACATTGAGCTGGCTCCAGGGGACCAGACAAGCACCCCGAAAACTAAGGAGCTCTCCGAGAAGGATATTGGCAACCAGCTGCACATGCTGACCAACCGACACGACAAATTTCTTGATTCCCTTCGAGAAGTGAAGGTTGGTGCAGATTGTTGGTTTCCTGGAAATTCATTTTAACAGTGAATCTTCAAAATGACACTTTTGGTTTTTGCCTTTTTTTTTTTGATTTTGATTTTTCTTTTTACTGGAGCTCTCCTACATTTTCATCTTCCACCTCTCCATTGCTTATTGGGAAATATATTCTCCCAAACTTTCTGAAGTGTTTGTCAGCAGCGGAGCTTAAGAATTGAAGACATGATTGTTTGGTCAATAAGTTTTGACAAACATTTTCTATTGCATCTGAGTACATTTTAACTTTACAGAAATGTTAAGAAAACAGTGATGACAAAGACAGGGCACAGAATCAATAACATATCAGCATTTTGTGTTTATATAATCTCTACAAAGATAATATTAGCTGAAAGCTTTTTTGAAAATAATTTTAAAAATAACAGCTCTTTCAAATTATCTTGATTGTTCAGTCTTATTATCAAGTGGTCATGAGCCTCTATACCCTCTCTCTTTCTCTCTTTCTTTTTTAATAGAATAGTAAATCAATCTTGATCAACATGGAAGTAGATTTAAATTCATTTCACAGTAGTTTTCACTGCTAGAAGAAATGTATTTTTGACATGCTAGTTGGAAAAGATGTCAACATTACTGCTTAAACAGCCGTGTAGTTGATGAACTCTTCTTCCATAGTATACATTATTCTGTTCCCATTTATATGCATCTCTCTCTCTGTTTCCAGACTGGAGCATTGCTGAGTGCCTTTGTTCAATTATGTCATATTTCTACACCGTTAGCAGAGAAGACTTGGATCCAGCTTTTTTCACGATTATGGAAAATCTTGTCTGACAGACAGCAACATGTGAGAATCTCTCTCTCATAGTAAATTTATCTTTGATAATGATTTTTTTTTTGTAAATTGTAGCTATGTGACAATGAATTTGTTCTCGTTGAGAAGTTTGCCCTCTTTTGTGATCATTGAATGCTGTACATGTCCATGCATGCATCTTTTGAAAGTAGTGCCCTTCAATTTATTAAGAGAATTACCCTTATCAAATGATTGTGCTGTGACATATATTGCATTAGCAAGATTTCTGAATCCAAAGTCAGTAATAGAAGAATCTGAGTGAACAGATTACTATCTTTGTGCTTCTCTTCCAGGCTCTAGCAGGTGAAATCAGTCCTTTCCTGTGCAGTGGCAGTCATCAAGTGCAGCGGGACTGCCAGCCAAGTGCCCTGAACTGCTTTGTGGAAGCGATGTCGCAGTGTGTTCCTCCCATTCCCATCAGACCCTGTGTCCTGAAGTACTTGGGCAAAACTCACAATCTCTGGTTCCGTTCGACACTGATGCTCGAACATCAAGCGTTCGAAAAAGGACTGAGCCTACAAATCAAGCCTAAACAGACAACAGAGTTTTACGAGCAGGAAAGCATAACTCCTCCTCAGCAGGTATGATGCTGTATGTGAAATGAGGAGAGAAAAATACAGTAGTAATGTAGTACAGTGTAGTACAATAGTACTGCTTCCTCAACTGTTTTTGTTGGGCTGTTTAGTTAAAGTTGAGCCTGTTTTGAATTCACTGAAGAAGTTCCTGTCCTTGCAAGTTTGTGAACACAGACACTTAAAACATTGCTTTCTATCTTACCTACTTCTCATGCCTTTCCTTCACCTGTCACTAATACTTTCATATATTTCTTTCTTTTCAATCCGTTTGCGACACGAGTTCTCTACAGCACTGGAAAACCAAATCAAGTCACTTCTGCTTCTAATTTTAAACCACAAATGGAAGTCTGTGTGGTCTCCATTTGTCTCAAAGGGAGTATTGTTTTCCTAACAAATCTGATTTGTTGGTATATGATCTTGAAGAATTGTTGGCTAAGCAAAAATGGGTTC